AGTGTGGACATAGCCTTACAACAGCCTGAGTTAGGAATTCCTTATTAGTTTACAATTTGCAGCTTACGACAAAGTTTGGGCCCATTTCGTTTGCAAATTAATTTGCTGGCCGGCTCGAAATATTTATGCTGTTGGCTGTTGCCTTCGAAGTATTTATGAAAATGGGAAATAAGGACGATGGAAGGCTAAGGAAAAACTCGGTGTTTTAAAATTTGGCTTAATTAGTATGGTATGGTATTTATTTAAGTATACTTAGTAAAAAAAGTAGCTGGATGCAGGTCGCTACCAACCGGTCAATATGAAAATCATTGGGGGATGCCTATGTTCAGCAGTAGACGTCCTGTGTGTGACTGAAATGATCTTGAAATAAACATGATATTACCTAAATTTCGATTACAACATTCCCCACTTGTTCTGTAAATAAGTAGTAGTAGTTTTTCTGTAGATTTAGCCGATAGCTGATTTATAGAGTTCCTTTTGTCTTAAAAAAGAATTATGAATTCGTGGTCTCAACACATTGAAAAAGAAAAGCACAACAGCTAAGCCACGTGCAAAAAAAATAATTAAATAACTACTTTTGACAGATTTTTCCAAAAGTACTTAGTCTTGACCAATTATGAGTTTTGACTGTAACACATAGATATCGTTTTATCTATGTTACAGTCAAATAAGGAACAAAATCATAACATTCTATCATCAAAATAGGTACATAAGCAAGATCAAACTTCTTAGCAAAGATAGTCCACTCAGTCTTTCAACAGCCGTCTGTCCATCAGGTCAAGTGGGCAGGAGCCCCAATCCGCCTGAAGCCATTAAAATGGAAATTTGCCAGCCAACGACGCCTGACAAAGGATTATGGCTCTATCTAAGGATTTTCAGCCATCTTGAGCGAAACGAAGACATTTTTTCAATTTTAATTTTAATAGTCATGGTGTAACGTACTAGCGACATATTAATTAACACTAAATTTCTATATAGTTTTACCATTGTAAGATTAGTTTCGAATACGTCCGATTCGGTTTCACAAAAATACCGTCTGTATTAGGTAGACTTAGAACTATCTACTTGAATGGTAGTTGATTAGATCCTATCCATCATCCAATTTCTCTTGTCAATTTTCTAGATGCATAGCATTGATGGTGGCTGACTTAGTAATTCAGAGGACAATGTAGATGTTAAGCTCTTGGTCTGCATCACACCTGATGAAAAGTGATGAAATAACAGAGGTCCCAAAAAGCCTTTTTTTTTTGTCAGGAAATGCATGAAATTGCATACCCACTGGCCCGGGGGAGCCAGTGGGTTATGTGAGGCTCTCCCTGCCAGATGGGCAGGGCCTACTCACTAAAACCTGACGGTGTCCTCCCGAAGTCTTTGGGACGGAGCTGCTAGTTATGTCCGAGCTAGACGGCCTAGACATTCTTTCGCGGCTCCGCCCCAGACTGTGGCTCGCTCTGTTTGAGCGAGCGACGACTGGCTTCAGGGAAGTAGTAGGTACCTCCCCTGGTCTTCGCTAACGGTGCGCGTGAACACATGCGCGCGCCGCCTCCACGGGTCCTCCTTTAGCGGCCACCAAACACCCCCGTGACTAGTGGCCGAGGATGTCCCAAAAAAGCCTAGCGTTAGATGGAAAACATCGTTTAGCACAGTCTCAATCGATATTATCAGATCTTAATAACATTAATTGTCAGGACTCTGCCGGAGCTCCCGACTATCAGAATAATTAAACAATTAATTCCTATCTGACGGTTTATTACACTGATACTTCATTTACGACGGAACATTTATGATCGACTAGCGGCCGCCCGCGACTTCGTACGCATGGATCCCATTTTGCCCCGTTACGCGGTTTAGATTTTTTCACACAAATGTTTTTTCCCGCTCACTCCCGTTCCCGTGGGAATTTTGCAATATCCTGTTGTAACTAAGCTTTAAGTTTACTAAGATACCTGCATGCCAAATTTTAAGCGTCTAACTTAAGCGGTTTAGATTTTTCATACAAAAGTATTTTCCCGCTAATTCCCGTTCCGGTGGGAATTTTGCAATATCCTGTTGTAACTAAGCTTTAAGTTTACTAAGATACCTGCATGCCAAATTTAACCTCCTGGGGCCCGGGAATTATTTTTATCGTGAATTCAAATGAAAACTATCCAAATAGTATTAATAATTGATATAATTATATTAAAAAATAAAATAAAAAAAATTATCTGGAAAACGGCAATTTTCTCAATGTCATATATTTACGACATCGGTTCCCAATGTCAACGACTTTTTTATTTTATGTACAGGATGTCCCGTAATAAATTGCACAAAAGTAATTCCAAGTTAAGTTTCTTGACTATCTACAACGAATTTGAATCGATTTTTGAAATATATTGAGATGCCAAAATTTTTTTTGCTATATTTTTAATTTTTTTTCTGCCTGTACTTACTTTTTTCTATGCAGTGGATGCAAATATTGATATCTTTTAAGTACTTATTCGTTAAAATGTAGCTAGATAGATTCTTTATCAAGTTTTATGTCATTTTTGGCCAATAACATTGCATCTCTATTTTTCTTTAAATTGTATTTCAAAATTTTATTGCATTTCATTTGGATGACTCAAATTAAAAAATCCTCGTGATAAAAAAATGCATCACACCAATGAGTAATTAACATTAAGTGATGTAGATAAGGTCAATAGCAATAAAAAAAATTAAAAAACAGTTTGATTAAGTGCCTAATGAAATTATTTTAATTTCATAAAAAAAATCAAAGTGACTTGAGGTGTTGATAATACTTCTGGGCCGACTTTACCAGTAAAATCGAGTTTTGAGTGTTCTATTATGTTATATTCGCATATATCTACCTAAACAAATAAGAAAATAATATCAGATTGTATGCTATTTAATAGAAAATGTATAATGTCATACAGGTATTACACTGGGCTCTGTCAGTTTACACTAGTAATTGGGACCTCATGTAATACCTGTATGACATACAGATTTGACCATGGTTTTCGTAGTTTTCATACGTATTTCCACAATCAGTGATACTCAGATAATAAAACAGTTCAAATCTCAAAACGAATAATAACAAAGGCTTATAGAAATCGTTCATATTTTAGCAAAAATTTCATTATTACTAACCACTTGTTCCCGGTCGCGGCGCCGTCGCTAGTTCAATTAAAGATAAAAAAATATAAATGTCACTTCACTAGCCAATCACAGCTAAGAATGATGGACAGATGCATCATCTAACTAACTAACGTAAAAGTTATGGTAAATTTCAACAGATAGCGTTGATTTATATTTTTTTGTTTTATGTAATAAATATATGACACCAGGCCCCAGGAGGTTAAAGCGTCTAACTTAAGCGATTTCGATTTTTCATACAAAAAGATTTTCCCGCTAATTCCCGTTCCCGTGGGAATTCCTAAGTATACTATATCCTGACCAGGAGTACAAAGAATAATTGTACCAAGTTTCGTTAAAATCCGTCGAGTAGTTTTTGTTTCTATAAGGAACAGACAGACAGACAGACAAAAATTTTACTGATTGCATTTTTGGCATCAGTATCGATAACTAATCACCCCCTGATAGTTATTTTGAAAATATATTTCATGTACAGAATTGACCTCTCTACAGATTTATTATAAGTATAGAAGATGGTAATTTCATCATTCAGGTTATTGTTTCACCATAAAAAGATAGGCATGGTAGGTATTTTAGCAATACCTAAACTACCGAAAACTAAATATTTACCTACTTACTAGATGAATAAACTGAAAAATGCTCTTTTTTATTCTCTAAATGGCATTGCATTAAATTAGTGAAATCATAGGCCACCTTTTTTTTTTTTTTTTAGTTGGTCAAAATGCTTTGAGTTGCATACCCGCCGCTGTGGTAAGGCGACGGGTTATGTGGGGCTCTCCCCTCCAGAAGGGAGGGGCCTACCCACTAAAAATCCACCAATCTCCGTCTTATTGAGCAGAGGCAGGAGCCGGTGTAGCTGAGCCTTATCCCGACCTATCCAACCAATGCTCATGTAGTCCGCTTAAGTGTGCAGACTCCGTCTTTACCACATCCTTCTTTTAACAGTGGCGGCTTGCTGATCCGCCACCGACCACTCGGAGATAAATTTACACGCTTATGTACATTAACTTACTACTAACCTATCCCATCATCGAAATTCTTTGTTTTAACAGCTCATAGCTAGCAAATCGTAAACTGATTGCTTTTTCACCAGAAAATCGAAATCGATTCTCTATTTAGTCTCGCAACACCTAATACATTTTACACTATCGATATCAACTTAACTGCCAATACTCGATACGATAGCCCATCACTACTGCCGTATTGGTTATTAAACAATTACGCCGCGTGCGCCGCCGGAAGCAATCGTCTTCGTGTGACGTCACCTCCGGTGCCACGTTAACGGCACAATAACCGCCTCGTACGAGCCCATCTGAGGCAATTGACTTAGTTGCAGGTAAGCGGGAGATGCGATTTGTCCTACCTGAGTCAGAATCTCAGGTCTATTACAGAACGAAGCTCAAAACTCGATGCAATCTGAAACATAGAGCTTTTGATTTGTTGAACTTGAATAATTAGACCAATCGCAAGACAGACTATCACCGAAAATCAGGTTTTGAAAACTGTTTTGTAATACGAACCTCAGTTTAACAGCCTAATTGCAAGTTTAACATTTTGGTTGATGTAACATTTGTGAAATAAGTAATGGATTAGATCACAAACAGTGGACAATAACATAATTTCTTGTCAATTTGTCAATTACTACGAAATTTTAATGAAATAAAAATTTAATTTTCTATTAAAGTTTTATTTCTCCTTCTACATAATTTGATTGTATAATTTCAATTGAGTATAACTCTAATGAAGGTTGTTTAAAAAAAATTTAACTCTCTTAATTTGACGAGACATTTTCAATATATTTTATGATTTTATTGTTCTTCGAAAATAATGTACCTAAGTACTACGGTATAAATCTATTTTCCCTTCCAGAAGCACACTTCTAAGGCACGCAATGCTCCCCATATAGTCGATTGTAGACCTCTGCACCCTTTTCTATTAGAGGCTTCAGCTTCTTCTGGCCCGTGATGAGCAGCCGTACCGAGTTGTAGTTCGATGCCTCGCTGGCGTAGTTGTTACTTGCGTAAATCTCCGCCAGCTCACCCACCTTGAAAAATATACATTCAGTAAAATACGCAATAGGTGCAGGCCGCTACCAACCCGCCAATTTGAACATAGGCCATTGGGGGCATTGGCATGCGCGTATTTGGAGCCGGATGGGCCCCCTCCAGAATGGTCTTCGAAGATAACTTTAAGTAACAAGTAACCCTGAGGGACCCCTACCCCATCTCTTCGGTCATGGCTCCCCTTTACCCTAAAAAAGATATACCAATGGGCATTGGGGCAGGCATAGAATAAGAGGTTCAGCAGTGGACATCCTGTGGACCCTGTAGTTGAAATTTAGTGATGATACCTCGACTTTGAAAAAATCTCTGCTTGCTCTCCCACCATAAATCACACCACACAAGACACAAAATTATCTCCTAACTTCTCCTTGAGCCACACACATCGCGATAACATTCAGGTGACAGCGGAGCGAAGTCCTTGCGACTATGCAAAAAAGCACCGTTGTACTCGGCTCGAATGAATCCCGTTACATCGCCATAGCGCGAATCTTCGGGTTATCGCAATGTGTATGGCCTAGACAGTGGGACGTCCACCCACAAGAGGGATCGACGACCTCGTAAACGTAGCAGGATGGCGCTGGATGCAGACCACTACTAACCGGGTAATATGGAAACCATTGGGGGAGGCTATGTTCAGCAGTGGACGTCCTGTGGCTGAAATGATGATGATGTATGGATTAGTGGTAAAGGTAACGTCTATAACGATGTTTTACCAAAACCAGCAGGTCCAGTGAATCTTCCAGGTTGTCCGGGTCATTGTAGGCGTACGCTTGAATCACGCGGTTGCAGCGTTCTGGGTCCTTAATTTTGATGCAGTGCCAATCTACTAGCGTTTGAATCTGGAAATTTATATGTTATTAATTTATAATAATTAGTATCTCTATCTACCATGGTACCTTCATTTTGCAGCTATGGTTACTTACATCGTACAAGGGCTTTTTAAAAGCCTTCTTGCAAATAAATACATGAATTTAATTATTTTTTACCAACCAATAAACAACTGACTAGCCTGTTCTTTAATACCAGGTATTCAATTGAATGCAGCCTATTTAGGTTGATCAAAGGTTGGTTGAACAATCTCTTAGTTAAAGGAGTTTGATTTCTGTCTACTTATCTAATTATTTCTTAAGCTTCCATCGCCTGCGCGAGCGACCCATGACAGTCCGCGCGACCTGTATGATCGCGCCGGCGATGGCGATGGGCACGCATTGGTGTGGTTGAAGCTTAGAAGACAAAAGAAACTCACAACTCTGACGGAGTCTTTGATATCCTGGATGAAGCCGTCCAGCTTCTCCACGGCCGCATGGGGGTCCTGCCACACTATCGGGACCAGGACGTCCACGATTGGGATGAACTCGTGGTCGTAGTCTGGTGGCCTGATGACAGAAGGGGTCATACTCTACATTTTATTATGTTCCCTTTAGTAGGACTGTAGGACTACCAACTGGGCAACATGGATAGCATTGGGGGAGGCCTACGTTCAGCAGTGGACGTCCTATGGCTGAGATGATGATGATGATGATTAGGACTGGTACTCATGCTAAAATGGTAGAATCACTGTATCTTAATCTTAACCAAGTAAAAAGGAACTTGACCTTCAATGGTGGAGTTTTTATTAACAATCAAGCTGTACTTAGATCCTGGCTACACAGGAGTTGCAGCGGTGGAAAGGACGGGTGAGAATAGTAGTCCCGTGACCAAGTACCTACTTAAGTAGGTTCGAGTTAATAAAAAATTTTAAACCTGAAATTACGAAGTCTACCTACTGAAGATTACTGCCTGACTGAGACTTTTTTGGCATAAGGTAAGTAGTTTGTATTTGGTCCATTTGAAATTATTTTATGTGCTAAATAAACAATCTTCTTTTTCTATTCTGCTAAGCGCCCGAATATCTCAGAATAAGCGCTTACGTGCAGTCACTGTTGAGATACTCCACCATGCCTGCCAGCACGCCAGCTATGAGCACGTAATGGCGACGATGGTCGGTAATTGGCAGCTTTTCGCGAGGCCTGCAAATTGAAACAAAATCAACAAAAAGGTGAATAACTTGGTGAAATATTTCAACCTCAGTGTTATCCTCATATCCTCCACTGGATTCAGGGTGGTTTCACAGCTCTCCGGGATATCCTTACAGACCACTCACCTTGCACTAGGACATCGTTTAACTTTCCCCGGGACAAACTTGACCTTCACTGGTTGGGTTTTTATTGGTGGTCAAGCTGTCCACAGGACTTGCAGCGGTGGGAACGAGAGGTGGAAATAGTCCCGTTTAGCACATCGTTTCAGAGCACCGCGCAGGTGCTACCACCCGTAGGTTCGGGTCTCCCGTGCTCAGGTGGTCCGTACGAATCTCCCGGAGAGTGAAACGTAACTTGACACAGAAATTTCAAATCAAATCACCCACCCACGGGTTACCTACGTGAGTGCGACAAACGTTACATCGAATTTTGTTTCTTCGAAAACCTTTCTGCGAAGTTACTATACTGCGACGCCTTGTTATATCGATGCCTTGTTACTGCGATGTAACGTTACATCGAAAAACTTTACTGCGAACGATTTTACTGCGAAATTATGTACATAGTCATTTTTAATGAACGAGTGAGTAGTAAGTATTGTTAAGATTTCAAGTTATTTATTTTTAAATCAATTAGTATTTTAATCGATATTATATTTCACTCGATATTTTATCACAGAAGTATTGTTCAATGCACTAAACTAAAATTATTACTTGTAAATCAACTTAATTATTTGTTTATAATAACTTAATTATTTATTTAAATAATCACGAGATATTCTGTCACTCGATACTTTACGATATGGTAAAAAAGGACGCCATCTTTGATGGCGGCCTTGCAATTCGAACCGAGAACGAGTTGTGATACTTGTGCGTATTTATTCCGAAAAATAAATGGATTCCGAGGGTCCTGCGGCTTACATTGTTATAAAAGTTCAGAAGTGGAAGAATCTAAGCATATTTATGGTTAAATAATAAGTATTACTGTGACTAAAAAGGTAAAACGTGCGGAAACCTGGTAAGTATTTGAACGATTTTTTTTCGATCTGATTTTCATAAACATCTGATACACTTGTGAATACTTGATTAACATGAAAATTACCTGCCTGAGTGGTAGTCAAATATGATGATAAACATAGTACAGTGACAATGGTAAATATTCCATTTTCGTGACATCCAATAATGTTTTGGTTTAATGGTGTGCGGTCCTGGGTTGGCATGTTTGGGACAAGTTGCTTTAAAACACATGTTTAAAACACTGTTTAAAGCATTTTGAAATGGAACAGTGTTTTAGTGCTTAAAGACATAGATTTAAAACTACTTTTCATCACGAATGAATGGAAATAAATAGAGATGAATCAATATTTTATGACTTGTTTAGTTGCTTTGACAAAAAATAATTTGGGTTACACTATTGTTGTGAAAGTGCATGTTTTTTTTTCTGTGTTCTGGAGTTAACATTATAACAGACTTCAAAAAAAAAGGAGGTGGTTCTTAATTCGTATGTGTTATTTTATGAGGTATTATCAGTCATAGAACTAATAATGATATGAAATAGTAAAAAGCAAGACATTCAAATTTATTAACTTCAAAATCCCCTCCGGTAAAGTCAACCCTATCGGGATAGGAAAGAACTTCATTGGCCGTTGAAATAAAGTAGTTTATTAGACTATGGGTATTGCCTTTAGTTTTAAATATTTTTATCTATCTATCGGACCTAAGTAAAAAAAAGAAACATGAAAAACAAAAGGAACACATGTTTGAAGCATTTTAGACGGTTTGTTTTATGGAATTTAAAAGAAATGGTTTCTTTTTCCAACCCTGCGGTACCTACTTTTATGGAAATAATAAAGTATAAAATTCAGTGCAACTAAAACACTAAACAGAACTTGGTATTCAATACATATTATATTATAAAGTAAATTATACTGAATTATGCAATGTAAGTAAGTTCATAAACACAATTCACAACCGTCAATCGCATAAAAATGTTGTCTGAGTATTTTCTCCTTTTTGGTAATTGGATGTACTTATTAATATGATTGGTATTACGTCATTTAATGTACACAAAGGAAAATTAGGAGCTACAAAAATGCACCTCTATATGCATAACATTGATTTTTTTTTATTGCGAAATATTTCTTTCTGCAATATAACACAATTTTTACCGCTATTCCTACTATGGCTATCATTACTAAGAGTGAATGGAATGTTTCATTTGATGTTTTTTGTGTGTATGCTTTTCTCATTTTTGGCTCCCATAATAGATCATATTGAAACAATTGTGAATTTTCAGCTGCCTGTTCACTTTCCTTGAATATTCCTTTTCCTTAAAGTATCTAACATGAATCCTGACACCACCCCAACACATGTTGGAAATTCTCCTAGATCTCAGACGCCCAGGGTATCACCATCACCACTGCTTCCATGCAGGGGTGGTGAACCTTCGCGCATAGGTAAATCGTCCCGGGTACGATTTTCAAGACGCAGATCGCATTCTCGAGAGTCTTCCTTCTCGAGACCTTCGAGAAGTAGATCCCCCAAATCTAAGTTCACTAAACGGCACAGACGTAACAAAAGTCGCAGTCAGTCGCTTTCGCGTCAGCGTAATCAAGACTCTAGCCGACGGCGCTCACATTTAAAGTCAAAACGTAACCGAAACAGTTCGCATTCCAAGGGAAGTAGCAGATCCTCTAGCAGCGATTCTAATAAAACGCTGCGTACGCATACCAAACGTAGGAGAACATATTCTTCATCGCGTCACCGTAGACACTCTTATTCTTCGTCTCCTGAATCACGTCACCGATCGACTCACCGTTCTCACTGCTCTCGTGATTCTGAAACATCCACAGAANTACTCGGTGAGTTTTCATTAACTATTTACCTGGAGTGAGGTCGTAGCACATAATTGTGCAAGCGGCGCCCAGACAGTGAACATAAAATTATCTGGAGTGAGGTCGTAGTACATAGTGTGCAAGCGGCGCCCAGAATATCATCAATTACTTATCTGGAGTGAGGTCGTAGCACATTGTGTGCAAGCGGCGCCCAGAATATCATCATTTACATATCTGGAGTGAGGTCGTAGCACATAGTGTGCAAGCGGCGCCCAGAAGATCATCATTTAGCTATCTGGAGTGAGGTCGTAGCACATTGTATGCAAGCGGCGCCCAGAATATTATCATCAGCTACCAGGAGTGAGGTCGTAGCACACAGTGTGCAAGCGGCGACCAGACGCGTAAGGAATCGATATTTGAAGTCAGACCGTAACACACGACGCGTAAGCGGTGCCCAAATGTGTATCGAAGATGCGAAGCAAATAAACGTCGAGTGATGACCGAAAATTTACATTTCGGATTTTTACTTATTTAGTTTTGTTGTAACGATCTGGGAAAATAATTTATTCGTGTTTGTTTCGAATGAGGACATTCATGACTTAGCAGGATGGCCGAGAGGTTTACTGACCAATCAGTTTTTTTTTAATTAAAAAAAAAAAACTTTTTATGTCATACTGAATCTTCATAATAATATTGTATTTATTGTCCATATAATACTAGATATTGGTTACTGCGATTGCTTAGGCGTATCACAGCGACTCTCAACATTTTTTTTATATATTTAAATATAATATATATTATTTATATATACATATATATATGTTTTTGAAGTTACAGATTCTGAATAATAGGCACTGTAGATGCGCCTAAATAATTGCACAACATAACTATAGTTCTAAGGTCATATAAGTAATCGTGTCCGGGACGGACACCAGCTCAGGATGGCCGACTGTTAAGATTTCAAGTTATTTATTTTTAATCAATTATTATTTTAATCGATAATATATTTCACTCGATATTTTATCACAGAAGTATTGTTCAATGCACTAAACTAAAATTATTACTTGTAAATCAATTTAATTATTTGTTTATAATAACTTAATTATTTATTTAAATAAATCATGAGATATTCTGTCACTCGATATTTACGATATCGTAAAAAAGGACGCCATCTTTGATGGCGGCCTTGCAATTCGAACCGAGAACGAGTTGTGACACTTGTTCGTATTTATTTCGAAAAATAAATGGATTCCGAGGGTCCTGCGGCTTACTTTATGTAAATACAAAGGAACAAATAAAAAACCAGTAAATTTTAACATTTCACATGTGATAGATAGATAGTAGTGCTCTAAATATCGATTTTTGAACGTCAATACCTAAATAACCGTTTGAGGTATATTTATGAAATTTGAAGCTGATGTACATCTTGCAAGTCTCAATAGATGAGCCAAATTTGAAGTGTTAATGCACAGTAGTTTTTGAATGATGAGCAGTCAAAAGTGGCTCTAATTGGTTCGTCTAAATATACGCACGGTGCAGTCCCCTCCATGGAACTAGGCTTAACATGCTCCCGCATGTCTATAGTGTTTGCTCAATGTTGATTTAGTCGATTTTCTCCTGAAAGGAACATGTAAGACAACAATAAAATTTCCAATTTTACAGACCTTCTAGAGCAGATGCCGCAAAAACTATACAAGATATAGAAAAAATTGACGGTCTCACCTGTAGCAAATTGAATAAGCTTTTTTTGGTTCATAGTAGTTATGTCACTAGGACGCATAGTTTCCGAGGATTAAGCGAAAAACCGAAAAGTGGTACCTTTAAACCCCCCTCTTCCCGCCGGCTCAAGGGCTAAGGGCGGGGACTTTTGCTATGTTCACCTCCTAACTAGGCTAAATAAAGTCCCGAGGTCAGAAATTGTGTTCCACGGATTTCTCTCTACACCGTCGTTAAGGCATTCATTGACTGGACTAATAGTGCATGTATGTTTTAAATAAATAAATACATAATGCATTATATTAGGTAGGTATTCTTTTGATGTATGTAATTTAATTTTTTTATCTATCTGTTAAGTCAAATAAAGAAGGCTTCGCAGTAAAATCGTTCGCAGTAAAGTTTTTCGATGTAACGT